CTAATAAAAGAGCCGAGCGGCAGTGCCAAGCCATTTTCCTTCATGTTTCTTTATGAACATGCTTGTGGTACGGTCATAAGCGCTGTATACTGTGAAAATAGTGAAATTTTAGGTGAATAAAGGAAATTTCTTGCAAGAATTGCCAATGGAATAAGGCTCAAGAAAGTGAAAAGTCGAGTTACCTAGAAAACTTCGCTTTCTAGTCTCCTAAACCAATGTGCGGTTGTTGCAGGTGGCGTGATGTCAGATAAAAAAGATTTAAAGTTTGATGGCAGATGGTCAAGTAAAATGCCAAAGCTACTTGATCGAGACACATTGAACACTTAAGCATTGCGGAGACTAAAATTCCAAATAAAAAAGGTTTTATATATGTGTTGTAAGCACCTGAAGACTTTCCTATGCTGATATTCCCACAGAATTAAAGGAACAATGGCACCTATAGTTATCTGGAAAATTAAACCAAAAATATTAAAATTATTTATGGTCCTTCTTAAAGACATCGCTCCTCCGCTCATCAAAATAAAGAAAGAAACCGACGCCAAGTTGTTCAATTTGTCTGTCCTGTCGGAAGAACTATATCGCAGTGAGATGCGGTTACTAACTAAAACCGATGAACGCCAGCCACCGAGAGAGCAACAAAAAAGATGTTGGGAATTTCGCATCTCTAATCCGGTGATCAAACAGCGGACGGCGACGTTCTTGTCGAAAACAGGGAGGAGCTACGTAGGATCGGGCAAGCAGTTCGGCTCAGCAACCGGAAATGGATGACGATGATCGTTAACTGATACCATTGCAGGCGGAATAGGATGCCTGACCATCCACCGTCACGGTGGGAAGATTATATCAAATGCCCGGAATGTCGCGTTTGCTTGGAGAAGGCTCGAAACCATGAGGAATGAGGGTGTGCTGAGGTTGGTGCGATTAGACTCCGAGTGTGGGCCGGTCCAAAGATCCAAATGATAGCATCTGAATCGCTGAGAAAAGTGCAAGTGTAGAGCGTGACAGAGAACAGGTCAGCAATTCGCCGAAAGGCAATGAATCGTATCCGCGGAAATCAGGACGGCAAACAGAGCGCAAAGTCTGAACTTGCGAGGTCGACAGAAGAATTCTTGGAGTCTAGACGTGATCCGAATGTGAATTCAGTTTCGCGGTCATGCAAAACCATTTTAAACCGAACTACATTCGACACGATCAACAAGAGTAATCACCTTAACTCATAAAACCGGATTGAACTGTGCCGAAGTATCGCACTATTCAGAGAAAATAAAAGCTAATTCGCAACCTAATCTCACGTCTCGAAACATCTGAAACAAGACCAGGACGATCGATACGTTTCTGAAACATGATGATATGCAATATCAAGAAAGTTTCACAATAAAAGCCTCTATTCACAATTTCCCATTGAACCATATAGTGATGACAAATTAGCAGAAAATAAATCAGTTCAACGGTAAGGAACTGAGGTCTGAGGAGGGGGAAGTCTGCTAAGCGCTAAGAAACATTTTAAGTGAATGAGATGATGCCTCATTTAAATCCTTTAAAGTCTAAGGAAAGTAAAACCGAAGACCTGGAACGAAATTAAGTCAGTTGGGATTCAGCGACAAAGAAAAATCTAGTCAGTTTCGATGACCGCGTGTCTGCCATATTGCCGATCCTTTGCTAACGATTGTCCTTCGGCAGAAGACAACACGGGTCTGCAGCAGAGTCCTTCGGGTACTTATTGGCCGTTT